GTGACTCAGTGCCTTTGAGCAAAGCCACGTGTTTACGTTGGGACAGATTAAAGTCGCCTCTTGTGCGGCAGGTTCAGGGCCCTCTGCAGCTCCAGTGTGCAAATGTACACACGGTTAAATCACGAGCTGTAAGCCAAATACTGCAGGAGGAGACTAATGGAAACACAAAAGGTCATAATAACAAACCATTAGGCCTGCTGCTGCTGAAGCGAGCTGCATAAGGAGAATACAACACTGGGAAAAATATGTCAGATATGCTTTGAAATGCGTTTTTAAACAAGGGACAATACAGCAGATCATATAAAATACACACATTAACAATCAATGTTAACTTGTTTCCTTTCCCCCCGCCCATTTTGCATTGGATTTCTAGTTAAAAAATGTTATAATTCAGGATTAGATATGTGTCTAAGCATTGTTCCGCATGCGTAATTTGTGCAGAAATGTTTTAGGTAATGCAATAATAAGGACAGTTTGCTTTTGCAATCTGACGCAGAGCAGAGCATCTCACCGTGCAGCAGCAATGGTTCACATCTCGGCATATCAATCCGCAGCATAGACGGAAAAATAGGCCTACGATTCATCAACTGAGAAACTCCAAACAGCAGCAGCAGGTCTGAAGATGCAAAACAAGATCTCCTGAAAACATGACATCAATTATATAAAGATCTTTATTTAAAACATCATTAGTGTGTATCAAATCAAAAAAGGCTGATTTCTGTACATTGATAGTTAGAAAAGTAGATCCATCTATCTTTTTCACAGGCTTATTTTCTGCTCTGGGTTTAAGCAGCAGGTCAATTTGTCTCGGGGGAGGACACATCGCATTGGGACATATTTGTCCAGAAAAGAGCTACTGTAAATGTTTTTCCATGCTGTCCCAGGAGTCTCTTCTCTACTGTTTTGGCTTACTTTATTTTAATCCCCCCTTTTTTTTTATTATCAGAGGCTGTAAATCCTGATCCAACTCTGCACCACATCTCCCTAAAAGAGAATCTGCTTTACATCTGTGTTGCTTTATGCTCACGCTGGCTCCTAACCCAGTAAAATACACTTAACATTAAAAGTAATATGTAGTTTATTCTAAAAAAGAGAAAGTAGACTTTATTACATTTTGTAATATATAAATAATAACGTTTTCATACAACTCTGATATGCAATGTTCAACGTAATATTCTAGAAGATATTGCTACATGAAGTTTTTTAGGATTACTAATATTTCGTCCAGTGGATTGTGCATCATACAAAATATAGGATATGTATAGCCATTTGAATATCTCTCTACAAAAACGTTTACAATTAAGACTTGTCGCTTAGTACGTATGATGTTACCGTAGATAATGTCTCCTTTCCTCAATCAAGGCAGCTGCCCATAACCAGAACACAAAACGAGGAGCTGTGTTCATTTCTTAGTAAAATGCTGCCATCTAGTGGTCATGTCGTGTTCTAATGTGACAATCAATGTGTGTTTGTGTGTTAATTTAAAACTGAAAAACTGCTTTAAAAAGGAACCTAATAAAATATGATAATACAAAAAAACACAATTAAGCAGGACCCATAATCGATCTCCTCTGTACATCTATATATATATATATAAGTGATTACAAAATGTAAATGGGACATTTTGGATTTATTTTGTTCATGTCATCAAGGTGCTCTTGACAAACTGCATTAAAGTCAACCCTCTTGTGCAGCTGGTTATAGTTGTTGTACGACATTGACTTCTCAATCAGTGTGTTCGTGTGTGTTTGGTCAATTAGCACTTTTTCCTTCATCCTGTTCCTGGAGCTGGACGGGGGTCGTGTGTGGAGATCTCAGGGGGATTTCTGCGTTTAACCTTTGACCTCCATTAAAGCACAGGAGCGGTCTTCAGGGAGGAAGCAGCTCTGACTCAGGAAGTGTCGGCAGGTGTCAGCTGCTGCCGCTCCGAGCGGTGACACCGAATCATCACAATCACCCACTGCTGAATGTCTTCATCACTAATGTGTCTGAATTTCATCTTATTGGAAACTGGGATTCTGTAAGAAGAGAAACTAATGTAATGCTATTTCATTATACATCCATTTAACATAATTAAAAAACATTTTAAAGAGTGAAATAAAGCGTCCAATATCATTACGGTCTTCCCTTTTCCCCTCGGATGAACACCTGATCAATCCAAACTATGTTAGTAAGCAAACACTGTAAAAAACACAACAAATGGTTATTGTCATTATCAATTATTCTGCTGTAATCTTTTCATATAATTGAACTAATGAAAGCCTATTTTCACATATCTTTTTTCAGGGCAAACATTTTGAAAAATATTCAATTAACTAAAAATCTGCAAATACTCACCGAAGGGAAGCTGGAAAGAAACATATTTGTCATGTTTCTTTGGGTCAACTGTTATGCAAATATTTTACAAGCAACAAAAACATTGTATAAGACTTTGTAGGTTGTTTTAAAAGTGTATTTAAAAAAAAATCTCTTTTTTGTCATTACATCATATCACATTACATCCATTGACTGCAGATCTACAAATGCCTGAGTAAAAATGCTAATACATCATTCAACAAGTGTGATTAAATGACAGTTCCCTTTTTTCTTAGTGTACGTTACAGCCTTTAAAACACTAAATAGAGATGAGAATCAGGATTTAGACCTTTTGATACATGTCCGTCTGTACAACTAAATCAACACAAATTGAAATGGCAGAAAGCGAATATACAGACATTTGAAAAACTGATTTCTGCACTCATTCAATTATTTTCTTTTTTAAAGGTGGTGTAGGTAATTTGAGAAACCAGCTCGAGTGCGCTAGAATTTGAAAATATACAGCCGGAAGAAATCTGCTACTTCCTTACAGAGCCCCTCCTCCAACACACACGAATGCGCACATGACCAATGAGGGCACGAGATAAGTTTGTGCACAGATGGAAGGCTGACAGGCAGGTAGGCCATCCAGTTACTTTAGCCGGGTCGGCTAAAATGATTGGTCGTGCTTTTCACAGTACTACGGCTTCTACAGATGACATTTTTTGATGGATTTTTTGTCAAAGCACTTAAGATATTCATTGCTATCGGGATGTTAAGAGCATTCCATGGAATATAACAAAAAGTGTATCTCGAGCCGGTTTCTCAAACTTACCTACCCCACCTTTAACTAAACAAATAAACGACTTCTGTTTGATTAAATAGAAAATGTTGAACTTCTGAAACTCCCGTCTCTGTTGGTTCAGTGAAAATATTTTGGCACAATCATACTGCACAGCAACAATTAAACAATAAAAACCCGTTCTAAAAATATTATCAAAAACAACATATCCATCGATTTAAGAACATCTGAACAAAACTAAATGGAAGTTGACATTTCTTCATTGTTAACCCAGGTTTTACTAAATTAAAAAAGTCAGTTTAAGTATGTAATATATGTATGTCAGGATCAAATGCCGGGATTTAATTGTTATCTTGTTAAAAAAAGTTACTGTCCATTTCCATCTTGAATAAATCCCTTAAAGATAAAAAAAAATCAGGTAACTCTTGGTCTTTCTTGCAAATAGTTTGGTAGAAGATTAATACTAAGTACCGTTGTGTCCTCTAAAAGAGCTTGCCCACTCCCACATGTTATAAAATAGTGTGTAAGTGTGACTATCCCTGTCAAATGTGCAAAGACTTTGACGAAGAGTCCTCAAAATGTAGCTCTTGTGTCCCGTCTGCACCCCGCTCCCAAAGCATCTTCTTTTTTAAAATCATAAACAAGAAGCTTCTCCATCAATTTAAGAAAATCTGAATAAAAGTTCAAGTAAGTTTTTTCATCTTGTCTGACAGTTTGTTTTAGAGATTAAGCACTAAATAGAGAAGTTGTCAGTTCAAGTATTTTAAGGGGTAAGGAGCTAATGTTGAGACTTTAGTTGTGTTTGAGAAATTCATTTTCCATTTCTCACTTGAATAAATCCCTGTAAAAAACCGTATTGTAAAATAAAATCTCTTCTAGACATCACACTCTACCATCCGAGTTATTTGCCCAGAGATTAGAAAATGGATACCAACTAGACCCTCCAGAAAAACGCGATTATGCGATCGCATAATTTACCGCATAATCAGCAAAATGGCGCAGATTTTTAAAAAGGCACATATTTATTAAAAGGTTGCATAATCCCCGCATTTTTCCACACAAAATTGAGGGAAAAAAAAGTTAACGTGAAGTAGTGATGTCATCAGCTCGCGCAGGTAAACAACACCGTAGAGTGAATGTGTGGAACTCACACGAGAGAGAAAACAACAAGATCAGCGCCATATAGATTATTATATACTATTATACTATTATTATTATTATATACTATTATACGGCTCTGACCAAGATGAACAAATCGAATCCATCTCATTTGCCTACGAACATTTCTGCTAAAGACCGGGCAAAGCAGTACGCCGATGTCTTGCACGAAAGTGGGGGGAAACTATTCTGCACCCCGTGCAACTGTGTGTTGGAACATAAGAGAAAATCGACGGTGACGACCCACTTTGATTCATTCAAACATTCGAAAATGCTTTCTGCTGCTGCGGACAAGAAAGCCAAACAACTCGCGTTCACCGAGGCATCAACCTCCAAAACCCTTTCGAGGGCTACAAGAAACGAGGTGAGTAGCCTACAAGATTGAAGCTGGTCAGATAACGAACGAGTAAATGAAAACAGAATGAGGCGGAGAAGAGTGTGTGTGTGTGTGTGTGTGTGTGTGTGTGTGTGTGAGAGAGTGATTAAAATAGCCCATATATAAATACATAAATAACACTTTGTGATGTAGCTTGCTTCTAGTATGCTTGTTTATCATAGGAACTCTTTAAAAGGGCTCACTTTCATTCAGTAGTAGCCTAGTAACAGGGTGTGGGAGAAGAATCACCTTTTTTCCGCAACTTTTCGCATATTTAGCATATTTCCGCATATTTCGCAACTTCACCGCATAAAATCACATAAAAACCCCGCATGTTTAATCGCATAATCAAGGATTTTAGCCCGCATAATCAAGGATTTTAGCCCGCATAATCAAGGATTTTAGCCCGCATAATCAAGGATTTTAGCCCGCGTTTTTCTGGAGGGTCTAACCAACTACCCGTGTGTCCTCTTAAAGAGCTTGCCCACTCCCAGATGTTATACCATATTGTGTCAAATCTGAGAAAGGAACATATTTAAAAAACAGACTATCCCTGACAGAGTCCTCCACAGAGTGTCGTCTTGTTTTAGCTCTCGTCCGGGGTCTGCACCCTGCCGTCCCCCAGCAGTCTCTCCCTCTCCCCCGGGCTGTCCCTCCCCTCCTCCTCCTCCTCCTCCTCCTCGGTGGCCACCAGATGGGCGCAGCAGGGTATCCTGGCCAGCAGGGGGCGGTGCAGCCCGTTGTAGAGCGCCGTGCCCACCAGCAGCACCAGGAAGCCCACCACCTGCAGGCCGTGGAACTGCTCCCAGCCCAGCGCCAGGCTCACCACCCAGATGACCAGCGTGCGCAGGCTGTCCAGCACCATGCGCGTGGTGGCGCTGATCTCCTTGGTGACGCTGATGCCGGCGAAGTTGAAGAAGGCGATGCTGACGGTGTTGCCCAGCAGAGCCAGCAGGATGAGAGGCTCGTGGCCGATCTGACAGAAGGCGTCCAGCGCGTCCTCCAGGACCTGCCGAGGGTTGTCGCTGAAGTTTCCCACGTGGATGAAATACATCGGGATGAGAAGCAGCGACAGGACGACAAACCCGAAGAAACCTGGAGATAGAGAGCAGAATTTTAAATGTTACATATCTACAGTTTAACTTTTTTTCTTTCAGGTGATCCTTCAAAATCTGTAGGTTTTAATATATGTGGCTACACTCTCAACATATCTACATTCATCACATTCCTGTGTGTGTGTGTGAGAGTTTTAGGTGCAAATGTACCCTTTTGTTGTCCTAAATCACATCTATCATGTAGACTTCAGATGAATGACTGTCTTACCCTCAGTCCCAACAGCTTTGAGAGGATGGACGTCGTGTTTGTAGACAAACTTTTCCTCCAGAACCATCTGCACTGAAACGATGACCTGCGCCATGATGATCAGAAGATCTCCTGCAGGACCGAAAAGAGGAAGTGGTTAAAACATTTTAATATTGTAATGAGGTTGAGGCTTAGTTCTTTATGGTGCTTGTACAGGTGCGAGTAGTAGATACTGGTTCTTTACGGCTATATATAAAAGGCTACATTTAGTTTGCTTTTCTTTTCTGGAACCCCTTGAGCCCAGTTTTAAAGTATCCATAATGCATGGTCATAAGAACACGGCACAGGTGCATTCATAGCGTGTTAAATTCCCTGTTTGCTTAATAAACAAAACTAAATATTGATGCAAATTAAGGCAAAACAGGTGTATTCTGGGTGAACCTGGGAAATCAACCAATCAGAGACTCATCCCTCATTCCCTTTAAAAGCCAGGTGCACCTGTACCTGGCACATTGCTATTTAAAATGTGGATCCAGCTAATCTGAGATGCAATGTTTTTCAAAGGCTAAACAAAAACAAATACAGACTGAAGCAAACATGTTTTTGCACATTAAATCTTTCTTTTTTCAATATATTCTGACTCTACAAAGCTCTAGGCTAGGGGTCGGCAAGTAAGTTTGGCCTTGGGCCCAAACATTTCTGAGCCACTAGATGGCAGGCCAGAACATAATCAAAGGCTAATTTAAGTCATTGATTGTTAAAATCGCTGCAGTAATTATCCAGTGGAATGCCCTTACCTACTGGCCTAGTTTTTTGGGCTGGGCAGTGTTTTACACACCGTCTTATTTGACTTTCTCAGGACTTAAAACTGTTTTTTGGGGGCAGACAAAGAAAAAGAAATATATACACACATAAGGTCATCATCTTAACAGTTTTTTATGCTCATCGTGAGCAGAGCATCCGTGAGCAGAGCATCAAGTTGGCATGCCTATAACAGCTGAATGCGGTGATTACCATGTTGTTCAGCAAAACGCCTCACAAACGTATTAAGATCCAAAGCTTTAGTGCGTTTTGATTCAATGCCGAGTACAGCCAAACTTGACAGTCTCTTCTCTGTCGCCGTCCCGTTCAAATGAAATCGCCGCCAATCACATTACCATGCTAGTGCCAGGGCCGGGGGAGGGGTTACAAGGATCGAGTCTTGTGCTGCATTCACTTGCACTCGGACATTAGGGATTTACTCTCATAAATGTCCGATGAGCCAAAACTTTTCTTTCAAAACAAAGCTAATTTTCCGGGCCAAATATTATTGCTGGCGGGCCCGTGGGCCGCCTGTTGCCGACCTAGGGTGTTGAAAATCCTCCTCACCTGTGATGACGTCGCTGAGTTTGTGCGTGTCGTCTTTGTGTTTGCTGAAGAAGTCAGCGAGGCCGACGATGATGAGGCCCACGATGGTGGTGAGGATGCCGAGCCACTGGCTCTTCTGCAGTCGTCGGCCCAGGAACGTCACGGAGAGCAGGCCGGTGAAGATGATGACGGCTCCCCGCAGCATCTGGAAGCTGGAGGCGCTGGTCATGTTGAGAGCTGCAAAAAAAACCCAGAAGAAATGTGTATTAATAGACATAAATAATCTCATGCTGCTCTAAAAGGCTAAAAGGTATTGGCTACATACCACGCAGAGAAAAACAACATTATCTCTAATCTATTTATCTGCTTCCTGACGAATGGATTCTTTAAACAGAAGTAGATAATCTGTTGTGTTTTTGCAAATGTGAACAAAGTCACTACATTTGACCTTTGAAGGACACTATAGATCAGGAAACAAGTTTCAAATGCTAATGTCCACCAAAAAACATCACATGACCACTGTGGAGTCTCTCGTCACCGTTACATAACCTCCCAGCAGGTGTTTTTGTTTGTTTGTTTGTTTGGGTCACTTACCAACATACATGATGGAGGTGGCCGTCATGTCACACATGGCGGGGGCGAAGAAGAGCAGAGGGTTGAAGCTCTGGCCGGGGTTCATCCGGGGCTCGGGTCTACGTCTGTCAGTGCAGAGTAAAATGTAGAAGACGGCGAGACAGCTGAACTCCCCCATAAACATTCCCACCGCCTGGACAGAGAGAGGGGGGAGACATGGATTATAATTCACCTTTTGATTTAAATAACTACTGATCGGATTTAACTTACAGCTTATAATTGAACAAATGCATTGTTTGACTTTAAATGCATATCAATTTCAAGAGGTATGATTATTTTAAATGCTAAGACGTACATCTGCATATACTGGATATGATCTCTGGGCTCACGTACACATGTGTTTGATAACGTTGTCACCTCAAACACAAAGACACAGGGTGTTTCTCAATCTCGAGTAAAGCTGCTCCAGAGCCACTATTTCAAGCATACTACGTCATTGAGTGCCGCCGAAGTACTGTTCCAATGTCCAGCATACTTGGAAATCTACCGAGCCCGGCGTACTTCGTTTGGAGAAATTTCGAGGCTGCACATGTGTAGACTCCGCGGTCTTAAAATCCCCACAATGCTTTGCGCACGGACCAATTTCCCCAAATCTGTGGCGGAAGATGTAAGGCGGGGCCTCTCATATGACGCACAGCTGCACACTTGCTAGCCTGTTCCATTCTTCATTTTCCGAATGCCAGGAAGTATTCTTGACTCGCTTCTGAAGGAAGTGACTCGGAAGACATGTGCTACCAAGCAAGCGTACTCTACATTGAGAAACACCCACAGACTGGAGTTTAAAGACTGTCTCAGCCTATTATTTTCTGTCTGATGGAGACTTCATACTGACTTCAACACGTTCCACATATTTTATACATTATTGGTGACGTTTGGTTTTAGTTCAAAAGTTTACAGTTAAAATATTCTGATGCTTTTCAAAGTGTTTTTACTTTCTTTTCTCTTCTTAATACACATTCATTCACTACTACTTACATGTAATATCTAACTCCTTCAGCCTACTTTCTGCTACAGAAACCATTCAGCTATTTCAGGACATTGAGGCTATACATTTAGTTGTTTATACCTTTTTTAAACCTTTTCTTTTAAATATTAAGCTTCTTCACTATTTTTCCTACTCTTCCAGTTTAACATTTCACTTTCAAGTTTTCAACAAAGTCATTGCAATGCATTTGAGCTGTAACAATTTTGATTCAAATCATTTTACTTTTCTGCATTTCTCCGCTAAGTTCAGCAACACACTTACTTGGTTTCTGTAGCTAAAAGCAGCTACAGAGACCATTCAACTAATAACATATTCAGCTTTCATTTTCAGCAACAAATGTACACAGTTTACAGCATTCACACGCATTTTCAGCAGGACATGCATTTTCTAGTTATGTTACAGACACACTTTGTGTGTACCAAGAAAGAATTGAGGTTCAACCGTTGTTTCCCTTCTTTGGGCAAATGGGATACAATACAGTCACCTGCAGTTTATTAATTTACCTGAACAAACGGGTGAGCAAAAGCATGTTCGGGGTCATCATGGCATCCCTTCGCTGAGAACATGTCCGCCCATCTGTCAGACAAGGAGACGTTATTAAAATGTATTTACATCTACTACATAAATCCAAGTAAGCATATAAAACACCTTGCTATCTTTGTCATTCATATATCATATTCAACTGGAAATATGTGTTGTTTTTTTTGTTTTTTTTAGGCTGTAAGAAAATGATCCCATGTATTTTTCACTTTTTTCTGATATTTTAATAATCAAATCTGGAAACTGATGAATGGAAAACAACTCAGATCTACACCCACTATATTTGTACCTATTTCAGTATGTTTAAAACATCTATGTGGGTCTGAAAATGAGTTTTGTGCAGCAAACATTTGGAAGTCTTCCTGACCAACAGCTAACATTTGTTCCACTGCGCCCGCACATAAAACCCTGTAAAGTCAGACCAAATTATTTGATGAAGTTAATGAGTAAGAGGATCTTTTATTGTCAGAGAGTCGGAGGAAGCATGATCAGCATGTGAGCGTCCTGTCTGCTGCAAAATGCAAGACAAGGGAATGTGGTCCTGAGATGTGATGACGCAGCACTTCCTTCAAATGTCACAACTTCTGAGCTCATCAATACAAGAAGGAAACTTGATCCAAATCTGCTACTCCTGCTTATTTTGTGGAGACTGGTCACACATGTTTGCATGAAAGCAAAGAGGGAAGTAACACCAAACTATCAACCTTGCTATGTAGGGCTTTAATAAACTCAGTGAGGCAGCACTTTGACGACGCTGGTGTCAGGTGACTGCAGTGAAACTCTACCGGTTTGTTTCTGATATTCTTCTCTGAGCGACATGACACAACTTGCTTTGTCTGACACATTACCACTCAAACAGTGATTAATTTAACATTTTGGGGTTTTGTTAATCTGGCAAAACCCACAAAAAGACAGCAGCCGTGTGTTTCAGGCTGCAGAGAGCTGACATCACAGATTATTGGGGAAGTTAAAATAGCTGATTTTCTTGTTTCACCAAAAAAGGAAACCTCTTCCTATCGTGACAACAATAAGAGATTACTTAAATGAATCATTGCGATAAATCATTCAAGTGTTCCAATCAAGAATACAATACTAAATAATCCTTTTGGGGATTGGACATATTTCTAAAGGTCGAACGGAAACAAATTAATTGAAAAATGTATCTGCAGGTTAATGGTTACAAAATATAAAACATGTGCAGCTCTTAATAGGATAATGGTTGGCATTTCAAATCAAACTTTCCAGAGAAAATGATCTCAACAAAAATGTTTCAGAAAATACTTTAAAAAATACTTTATTATCAATGATTTATGTGCAAAGGGCAGGACTGGGTTTTTGGGTTTGCATGAGCAATTATAAAAGCCACATTGAAAGTTTAAAAAGTCATATCACAACCAAACAGATGTTTCTCTCATTGAACATAAAAGGTGCATTTTGGACTATTGGTTGAACAAAACAAGTCATTTTAAAACATATCACGTTTTTTTAATACTATTTTCTGATTAAATTAAAGTGAAAGTCCAAAGTCAGACTTTATAGAGATGAAAATGTCTGTCAGCTGCTGGATTTACCTGTGACCTACAGAAAGAGGCTATTCCCTTTGATCAGTCTAAAACACAGATAACGCGTGATAAAGGTGTTATACCATTACAGAGCAAGATAATGTGAAATAACTTCACTATAGTCTGCGCATAATGATTTGCTTCCTGGCAGCAAGTTTGTCAAACAAATCCTAACTGCTATCCTCACACACATTAGCTTTCTGTCGCTTCCTTTCACTCAGCCTGATATGGATGTTTATCAGACGTCTGTAAAGCTAACAGGCTAACAATGCGTTAACACATAAGAATAGTTAAACATGTAATAAAGAAGCTAGTGTGGTTTGATAATTCGCTAAAAAAAGCACTTAAGCTAACAACCGTTGACGTGCAGTGTTTCAACTGTGTACCAGCTGTTTTACCGGTGAATTACAGTGAAAGGTTAACTGTAAATTTACATGACTCCAGTATAAAGACTTAATCTAATTTACTCACTTTGCCGATAATGTGTTGAGAGAGCCGGTTGTTAGCATAAGTCCGGCGAGGAACAGCTGGTATTTAGTCCAGGCCATGATGCAGTGTGAGCGGGACAAACACACCGGGAACGCCGAGCTGTTGTTTGTTTGTTTGAAGGAACCCCGGTTGTTGTTCACTCAATTCTCCGTGGGATCTCCTCTGACTTTAAACGCCACATGACCACAGTCAGCTGACCGCACCCGGAAGTGACGCAATGATTGATAGGCGAAACCAGAGCTGATAGAATTATACGGCTCTGGGCGAAACTTAACAGAATTGTTATTTGTATTTTTTAAATGTGTTCTTTTATTACTTTATATGTTTACCCCTGATGTCCAATGTTTTGAATAAAAAATATAAGTGCTTCATATATGCTATTTAATAAATACAAAATAAAAATAAAGTTTTACTCAACATATATATCCAAAAAAGAAAAAAGTAAATGATTATTTCTCCAAATATTTAGATATATAATTCTCTTTTTTTTAAATGGTGAACCAGACACGTTTACGCGTTTGTTATGCCATCGTATACATTTACGTTTTTAGAGTGGAATAAAAGATTAGGCATATCTTTTGTGTATAGTATTTAGTAACGGAATTTAGTGGAAAAAGTCATTGTAAATATTGAACATGAAAAATACAAGATTAATTAATTGAACATTTATAGATTAAATATGGTCAACTAAGTGGACACTAACTTAAATAAATAAAAATTACCCCAAATAGCACTGGACTTTTGAAGTGAATTAAACATATATATTCATACTTTAAACTTGTTAACACATAAAACAAGTAATAACATTGTCTTTCCATTTTTATATATATTTTTATTTTATTTTTGAAAGATTTAATTAAAAAAAATCATACTCCTGTTTCTCTGTATACTAGGGATGTGCATCTCCATCACTGAGGCCGATGCGATGTGCATCTCGATACGTTGCCAACGATACGATACATTAACGATACATTTGAAACACCAGGCGGTGCGATACGATACGATTCACCCCTGTTGCGATACAGTTCGATACGATTTGATTCAACATTATGCGATACGGGGCGATACGATGCGATTCAACACGATGCAAAATAATGATACTTCAATATGGTACGACAGAGGATTTTGTTGTATTCCTTATATGCAGCAAATCATACATTAACAAAAAGGTGCTTTACATATTTGGTTCTCTCTACTAGTACTGCACATCCCATTATGCTGTTTCTTTTTTACCTTTTTTACCTTAAAAAACTCTCCAGAGTACAGTACAATTGTATAACACCTCACAGTTAAACAATTTAAGGATGCATTGACCATGATTAACAATGTGCAAATAACAACTACCATAGTGCAATGCCCATACAACTGCCAGCCTGATGTGCTTAACACTCATTCATAGGCTAACTCACCAGTGAGCAGAAAGCAGTGGTGTGGTTTCTATATGAACAATAACAAATACAAATAACCTTTCACAAACAGGTATTTCATAACTGCTTACAATTGTAAGGAAGACATGTAAACTATTATTGGCAGTCACAGGCTGCTGTAAACTAAACACCACTCTCTCTGACATTACACCTCACTGAGTGATTGAACTCATATGTCTTACTTTCAGGTTTCTCTTTTCAGACCCCATGTTGCGTCTTTATGTGCGTCGCTAAGTTCCTCGTACTACTTGTGTACTTTAAAGCGGCACGGCATCGTTTACAATTTGCGAGCGATTTTTCAAGTTGTCCGTCTTTCTTGAAAAATCCGAATTGTTGCCAAACGTTTGATTTGTAGGTATTTTTCGGTGCGCTGTGTATCTCTTTCTCCTCGACTTCCATGTTTGTTGATAACTGAGACTCTCGGCCTCCGTAGTGCGGAGCAAAGATCGTCTCTGCTGAGTGCTGACAGGATGAGAGGATATTATATGAATGAATCGTTTTTTTACCGATGCAAAGACGCTACAATCGATGCATCGCGAGTTCAACCCAAACTGTAGCCGATGTGCACTCTTTCAACCGGTGCACTCGCATCTTGAACGTTTATGCCGGTGCACCGATGCGAATCGGTGAATCTTAACATCCCTAGTACAGAGGCTTTGGATAATTAACTTTTGTAAGTTAAATTAAGTGTAAGTTTAGTGAGTACATTATCGATATAACGTCGGCCTATTAATGTTAATTCTTGATGAATGATGAAAGGTTACTTAAACTTTTTACTAAAATAGTTTGGGCCCCCGTGGTGAGGGTGTTTGGGGTGGCCAATAGGGTGGCCAGAATTCAGCTGGGGGTGGCCCCCAGCCACCCCTCCCAGCTCCGCCACTGCTGCCTGGGTGTATAATGTTTGAGTGTGTGCGTGTGTGCGCACGGCACACGTTAGTTTTAAAGACCCCCATAGAGCTCAGTTTATAACTCGAACCCTGGGTAGAACTGTTAGCCAGCGGAGCGTGAAAAAAAAAAGTTGCGATAAGCTCAGGGGCGCCGCCAGGGATTTTGGGCCCCATGAAAATATATCAAATTGGTTACTTAAAGGTGGGGCATGTAATTTTGGAGAAACCAGCTCGAGTGCGCTAGAATTTGAAAGTACACAACCGGAAAAAATCTGCCTCTTCCTTCAGACTTCCTTACAGAGCCCCTCCTCCAACACACACGAACGCGCACATGATCAATGAGGGCACGAGATAAGTTTGTGCACAGATGGAAGGCTGACAGGCAGGTAGGCCATCCAGTTAAAATCAAAGATCGTCTCTGCAGAGTGCTGACAAGTGGATGATAATATTATTAGAATTAATCGGTTTTTACCGATGCAAAGAGACGCCACAATCGATGCATCGCGAGTTCAACCCAAACTGTAGCCGATGTGCACTCTTTCAACCGGTGCACTCGCATCTTGTACGTTTATGCCGGTGCACCGATGCGAATCGGTGAATCTTAACATCACTACTGCAGTGGCGGCCGGTCCATAGGGGCGCTAGGGGCGCCGCCCCACCTCTTCCCATATTGAAAAAAAAAAAAAAAAAAAAAAATTAAAATTAAAAAAAAAAAAAAAAAAAATGTTTAAAAAAAAATATATATTTTTATTTTTATTTTTAATGAACAAGGTAAATATTATATAATTGGTATCAGTAAAATGTATAATCTACAATAAAATCTCGTTTAAAATTGTGTTACGATGTCTAAAGTTACTGATAAGTCACATGTTTCCTGCCTGGCCTTGCCCATGCACCTTCTCTCGTCTGGGCGCTAAGAGAGGAGCCTTCAACCAGTGCAGCAGCAGCCACTAGCAGCTGACTGTTGCTATCTGTAACGTGTAAACTATGCCGCGAAAATATAATTTCAGCCAATCAGCGTCGTCAAAGATGACGGTCACCGGGTGCCAATGTCAGCGCCCAGTGCAGTCTGTGAGTAGTTTGGACAGTGACTCGTATCCGGTTGACGCAGTAGTTGATGAGGATGGCTTCGTGTGCAGGTGGAGTCTCCGGACCTCGGTCCCCGCCTAATTCTGTTCAAGAGCTAATCTCCAATCCTTTCGAAAGGAGAAGTTTGGCAGATAAATTGTTGCTTAAAGACCTTGGACCGGACCAACCCGATTTGAATATATCGCAGCAATCTCGTGAAAAAGACAAAACGTATACATGAGGCTTCGCAAGTAGCTGGTACACAAAAAAGGCTTGGCTAGCTGGATGCAAACAGGTAAATGCTGTCTTTTGTTTCCCATGCTTGGATATCACTTTATATGTAGAGAGGAGGTTTCCCATGGTTGTTAGAAGTTTATTAATAAGTGGGCATTTATCACAGAAGTGATTGTTCTGTCTCCACGTTTGTTGCATTGTCTGTGATGTATTTTCCAACGGTTATAGCTCCTATTCTGTCCCAGCAACACTACACGGTTTGCAGCTCCACCACATTTTTGGTTTATCTTCGGTGTCGCTTAAAATCTGCTTCCCATCGGACTAAAACCTCCACGTAATCTGAAGACAGATACTTGAAGTTATTTAAACCTTTTGCAAACTTTATGTTCTTTCTTGCTCTAGCCTTGCCAGTTACATTGTACATAACACATATATTATCATTATGCTAAGTGGTTGTTCGTGTTAGACGATGTAGCTTTTTCATTTCTGAGTTATTGCTATATGTAAATAAGCCTGTTTGTAAATAATCCTCAGAGAAACAAAGAAAAAACACAATTTATGACATTTTGTGCTGTGGTTATTTTTTTTAAATTGCATTTATTCACAGTTCAGTTTGAAATGCTGTAGTGACTTGTATTGAACCACTTAAATATTTATAATTAATGCTACTGAAAAGATGCTATTAATTTTATATCTCACATGCAGTTCACTGTAAAGCTACTTGGTGAAGGTGTTGGTTCATAAAACATGAACAGTTTTAAGAAAGAAAAAAACAGACCAGTTCTGAGAACACAAATTCCTGGTAAAGTAGTAGATGTTCAGGTTGATAAATAATATTTTCCACACTGAAGATTATGGAGGTATTGATCAGTCTTCTCATATTTTTAAGCCTCGATTTCTCCTTTCGCCCCCCCTCTAACATCACCAGAAGTCATCATTTAAGGGGTCATTTCTCGAAAAAAAATTCCGGGGGGAAACCCCCCGGACCCCCCAGGTAGGTCACTTACAGTACGTCAAGAGCCCCACCAAAAAAAAAGACCACCGGCCGCCACTGCACTACTGTATACCCTAAGGTTGAGTCTTGAGTACTTGTATCAAATCTTTGTAAATTTGCATCATGGGTAAACAGCAGGGGGCGCTAAAGACCAGATAGACAGCCAGGATTTGAAAGTGGGACCACAGTACATTTTCCCCATCTGTGGCCTCACATTGCTTAAAATTAGAACATGCTCTCACTTTCCCATGAAGATGATGTCCCTCAGCGCCTATGATGTCAATTTCAGGCTTTTCAAAAAACGAAAAATGAAGGGCCGATGTCAAGGATATACATTTGAATTTAAGTTAAGTAGGGATCTGTAGGTTAATAGCTTTAACACTCCAATTGCAGTGCACACACCAAATGGAAGAAAAGTTAAGATTTGTATATGAGCTCTTCTCTTTGTTTCACTCTCCTCAGTCTCCTCTCTTCCAGACAGCTGATGAGATCAAGGAGACGCTCGCTCTGTATCTTTATGAAATGTGTCATCTCTCCTCTCAAGGCAGCCTGAAGTAAAATCACTTAATACTTACCTTTCATAACTCTGTTCAAG